CCCTTCCCTTCCCTTCCCTTCCCTTCCCACCTTGATCCATCTCTCCTGTTCCATCCCATCCCCTGCCCTCCCATCTTGTCCTATTCCATCCCATCCCATTCCACCCCATCTCATCCCATCCCATCTTGTCCCGTCTCGTCCCACACTGTCCCATCCCATCCCACTGTGTCCCACCTCTCCCTCACCGCATCACAATGCCAGTGCTGCCCCATCCCCTGTCCCTTCCCCAGGGAGAAGCATCAAGCAGAGACTCAACCAGCCTCCGAATACGCCGAGCAGGACGAGGAGCGCCTGAAACACGAGGGTGAGTGCTGGGCCCAGCGTGGCGGTGGCGGTGGGTTGGGGCACGGCAAAGCTGCCAGCACGGTAAGCAAAGCCTTGCCTCCACGCAGCTGAGGGCATCCCGCGGAGCAGCGAGCATGAGCGCAAGAACCCGGTGGCCTTGTACATCCTCAAGGACAAGGTAAGCGGCCAGTGGTGTGCCGGCTTGGCGTGGCAGCACCGGTTCTCGTGTGCGTTGCACGCTCATCCACCTTCGGCTCTTGGCAGGACTCACCAGAGGCGGAGGAGGATTCACCACCTGAACCCCGCGGCACTGTTGAACCGGGTTACACGAGCTCGCCAGTACCGGCAGCCGGTCGCTCTCCGGGACCTGTGGGACGTTCGACTCGTCGTTACCATCGCTCGCCAGCTCGCTCGCCTGCCTCGACGCGGACGCACAGGTCGCCTCCGGGATCGCCAGCACGTTCCCGTGGCGCCCCGCGGCTGCTGCGGACTGCTGGTGTCCACATCATCCGGGAGCAGGAGGAGGCCAACGCTGTGGAGATTAGTGCCTGAGCAGGGGGGACATGTGCGCGCTTCAGCGGCGGTGAGCGAGCGGGGACACCAGCATGGCCCCACTCCTGCCACCGGGCATCATTCAGCTCGGTGTAAAGTCACTAATTTGCTATTGATCCCACCCAGAGCTCCCCTCTTCCATCCCCTGTCTTCCTGGGGCGTCGCTTTAATGGCTTTCTCGCCGCGATGAGTGTGCGGGGACTGCACAGAAAGCACACGTGTGTGCTGGGAGCATGTGGAAGAGAGCGTGTGTACAGCACGCGGAGAGAGCGTGCGAGGGGGCACGTACAGAGCATGCAGAGAGAACACGCATGCAGCACGCAGAGAGGGCACGCACAGAGCATACAGAGAGAACGTGCGGGTGCTGCGCAGCGAGAGCACTTGCAGAGCATGCAAGAGGGCATGAAGGCAGTGTGCAGAGCAAGCATGCATGGAGAATGCAAGAAAGCATGCACGGAGGGTGCAGATAGAGTGTGCAAAGGAAACATGCACAGAGAGAATGTGCATGGAGTGTGCAAGAGGATGTGTATGGAACATGCAGAGAGATTGTGAGCACAGGGTGTGGAGTTAGCATGCAGGAAGCTTGCAGAGAGCATGCACAAAATGTGTGGAGAGAGCATGCATGTGCAGATGGATCATGCACTGAGTACGCAAGAAGATGTGCAGAGGGCATGTGGATAGAGCACGCCTGGAGCATGCAGAGAGCGTGCACAAAGGGTGCAAGAGGGCATGCACAAGTCTGCAGAGAGAAACACATGGAACGTGCAGGGAGAGATTGCACAGAGCTTACAGCTAAGACTGCATGGGTTGCATGGAGAGCCTGCACGTAGAGAATGTGGAGGGAGAGTGCATGGAGCGTGCAGTGTGCATGGAGTGTGAAGACACGACTGCACACAGCATTTGCACATGCATGTGCCAGCATTGGGAGCACCCTCCAAGCGTGCACGGAGCGTGCAGAGAGTCTGTGCAGAGTGCACACAGACCGTGCAGAGAGCACGTGTGGACAGAGCGTGCATGCAGAGCACTCCGGGAGAGCATGCACGGAGTGTGAGAAGAGAGCACACGTGAAGCTTGCAAGAGAGCACGCAGAGAGTGTGTGAAGCAAGCACGTGTGTGGTGCTCACACAGGGCACACAAGGAGCACGCGGTGAGCGTGCAAAGAGCCTCCGGAAGGAGCACACGTGTGGCGCTTGCAGAGGGCACGCTCAGGGTGCGTGGAAGGGCACGCATGAAGCGTGCAGCAAAGAACGCGCCCAGAGCATGCCAAGAGCACGCAGGGAGCACGCGTCGAGCACGCCGAGCGGGTGCCCGCCTGCCAGCGCCGTGCCCACCTGCCGCAGCACCCAGCCCCACGCACGCAGGCGTGCAGCGGTGGCCATGTTCATGTGTGAGCTTGCCCAAGCGCGCACACATGCAGGTGGCCTAAATGGGGGGTCCCTCCTCCCCGCAGCTCCCCGGCCCGAGCGCTGCCCTTCTGCCATGCCTGGATTTTCTGTGAAAATCCCCCATTTTCGGGGCGCACGCCGTTGCCTCTCCCCCAGGCCTTCCCAGGAAATAGATTTAGGATGAAAACTGGAGAGCGGCTAGCCCAGCAAGCAGGGCCCTGGGGTACCCGGGGTGGGTGCCAGGGCACCCCAGGGTGCTCAGGGTGCGCTACTAACCAATAAACTAAACGTACTACCTGGCCGCCGGCGGCACCCTTGGGTGTCTTTGTGGGACAGGGTCCCCCGCCCGGGGTGGAGGGGGGACACATGAGAGGTGGGTGACACCAGAGACCAACACATCTGGCTGGCACCCAAATTCCAGTTTGCAGACCCTGGACTGTTCACTCTGGTCCCTACTGATGGTGTCCCCAGCCGGGAGCTCGTTTTTTTCTTATTTTGTCTTCCTCTGAACATGGGGGGGA